TATTAATCAACATGTTTGATAATGAAATGGAAAAATTATGATACTGGAAATGAAGCGAAATAGATGCAGCGAACTGCGAAAAACTGTTCAGTACTGTCTCCTCCTGAATATGAATGGTTGAATTGAAAACAATAGAGAGCATGCAGCACGCAAATCTGGAGGATGTTTAGTTTGTTAATAAGAAAGAATGCACAGAGACCACACAACGAACGACGCGTAATGAGAGCGTGCATGCAAGTAGGCTATGCAACGTAGTGCAGAAGTTATGTCTTCACGACTCAATTTATATTAAAGCAACCACGGATTTGAACAATGAATGCACTATTTTATACGAGGTAATCTACTTATTATTAACATATGAGGTGAATTTTTCAATCAAATCATGAAAAAATGAAACAATGTGCGTTCGTTTCGTGTCAGGTTTTGTTTTTGTTTGACTTCGGCTCGGTTACTATTTGGTTAATTTTATAAATTTTCTGTAACGCCGGGCATATCAATTGAGTTTCATACTTTTTAAGAAAACCATATTAACAAGTAACACACGTTTAATTTGTTTGTTGGTTGAGATAATAACATTTTGATCACACAATCAAAGTGGATGAATTAAATTTGTTGACATAAAAAAGAGTTCTTAAGCGATTGAACATTTTCTAAGAAGATCTCAATTGTGTCATTCTGTAAGATAGAGTCTGTAATTGTTGTGTGAGGACGATGGCAGACGATGTTGAGATTCTAAGTTGTTTCGTTGTTGTTGCTGTTGCGACATTTAGGTTTTGTGACAATCAAAGATTCATTTGCAAACTTTTAAATCATATCATTGACTTTTACTTTTGATGTTGAATTTTCAATTGTCGTTTTGAATGTTATTGTTGTAAAATGAATCGGTTGTTATTAGTAGAAGTTATTTTAATAGGACTATTAAAAATTATTAATTAATTAATTTAATAATTAATTAATTTAATAATTAATTAATTTAATAATTTATTTATTATGATAATAATAACCACTATCAACTCCACGGTGGGATGTAATATTTTGACAGGGCGCGTATAAATGTAATCACTAATGTTATTTTCATTTCAAATGCTTTCTACAGGAGAGATGCAACGGTAACTCTACCTGCTATGGAACTTAGGAATTTGATAAGCATTGTCTGAAAATCAATCAATGAAACTATAAATACTTAATAGCATCTGCCATTAAAACAAGTTGCAGTTGATATGAATTAACAAGATTTTTAAATTGCTTGACACTTAACAATTAACTACTACTTCTACTACTACTACTCACTACCACTAACCCTACTACTACTACTACTACTACTATTACTACTTCTACTACCACTGCAACTATAACCACTGTTGCTACTACTACTACCTTTACTACTTCACTAATTTACTATTACACTTTCAATTATATCACTTTATCAGCTACAGCATTGCTAACATTGATAGAATCCTTAATAATGATGCTGACTTTCAATGTTATGAACTACCGTCACATTCAGCGGCAGCTTGGCAACTTTGGAACTTTGGGGAGGTCAAAAATTTGAAAATGTTGAAATTTTTACTGGGTGGGGGAGGCAAAATTAACACGAGGGGCCAAGATTTGTGAGTAGTATGGCTGATGACCTTTTCTTTGCCTATCACATTCAATTTTCGGTTGATTTTACACATAAAACGATTTTTTTCTGACTCCTATTAAAGAACTGCTTAGACTCGCCACTGGGCACATTGCTGATATTATTACAACACTACATCAGACAGTCATTGTATAGTTATTGAATGTTACTACTGATAATATCCTAAATAAAACGATACTTAAAATTACTGACGGTAAATTTACTTTTAAAATTAACTTTACTTTCAATTTATGTTTTTTTTTTACTAATGCTACGTGTCTTCTACTTCTATCATACTAAGAAATATAATCAATGCGGAATCTCCGTAGCGTGTATAAGAGCGTAAAAATTACAATTTAAAAATAATAAAAAAAGAACATTGCCTACAAAATAAATTGAATTGATAAGAACGTTACAAATGAAGAACAAAACTTTCATGGATAGTAAATTTTGTTAATCGCAGAAGCACAAGCGGGTAAAAATGTTTCGATTAATTTCAATTTGGAGAGCGGATATTTGTTTATTAAAAAGAAATCAATCAAAATGTTTGTAATCAATGACACGTAGAAGACACGTAGCATTCTAGCTCGTAAAATAATCGTAAAACATGAAAGAGATTCATCTTTGATTCATGAAAGTGCTGTTCCTGCAATCAATCATCATTCCCTCCTTCTTGCTTGAATGAACAGCTATTGCTGCCACAAAACAGCCATCATCTGCTGCATACGCTGTAAACAATGTTGTTGTTGTGGTTGTGGCATTGGTGGTTGTTGTGGATGTGGTGGTTGATTTGTCTGCTTCCTATGCTTCAGTTTATTGATTGTGGCTGTAGTTGCATGGAAAATGTTTCTACTGTTGTCATCTGTGTGTGCTTGTTGTTTGGGTTGCTGTTGCTTTTGATGTTTTCTTGAAAGAAAGTATTTCATTGGACTACTGAGTATTGACGATAATTATAAACAACATGCTCTCAACAAACTCCCTCCATTCTTCTTCCATTCATTAAATTCTTTCATGAATTTTTTCATTCTAAAATGAAATGGAAACATTTTATAGAACGTTGTTTTGTTTCCAACCTGAATTTGTACCTGTCAAGAGTTTTAAAATTGAAACATGGGCTGTTAATTGAAAACGAAAAGTTTTGTGCACTGAATTGAAAAAATAAGACTTCTTTGCTGGCTGGTAAAATGATTTAGAAAATAGCCAATTGTTTTTTTTTGTTGCCATTGAGTAGTTGAGAACAACAACAATGTTGTTGTCCAGGTTAATAATATTGTTGTTCTACCAAATGCATTCGTGTTGTTTTTTGCAAAAATTGGCATTCCTCATTACGTGGTGCAGGGGTTTTCCATGGCAATGGAAAGTAAAAATGCTGATAGATGACAAATGTTTAGAACTCATGCTGGTGGCGTTGTTATTAATAATGTCGTCGTGTCTATGTTGGAGATATGTTGATGTGTTGTTGTTGTTGTTGTTGATGCTTTTCTGAAGTAGTTTGTAACAATGAGTTTGATTATTTTAAAACGTTGTAAAAGTTAATAATGTTGTTGTTGTTGCTGTTGTTGTTGTTGTTGGATTGTACAGAAGGACTGTTTACGGTACGCTTCTTTCGCACAAAATTAATTTTATAAAATTCATCTTTCAATATATAAACAACAACTGATAATAAAACAGCAAATGAAAATAGATAAAAAAAATTCAAATTGTTTGTTTCCATGTATCCTTGTTTTGTGTTCTTCGTTTGTGATTTAACTCAGTTAACTGCTTCAACCAACTTTATTAAGAAGTCGAAAGTATCCCACTTGCTAAAAAGTTTCAGTGGTTTATTAACTGGCTCAAATATTTCGTGCAATGCAAGCATACCACAAAAATTTACACAAACACACACACGCAACACGCACACACAAGCACGCATACACACACACACGCACACACATGATACACACACACACATGATACACACTGCAACACACACACACACACACATGATACACACCACACACATTCACTCTTACGCACAAAATCTTCAAACAGTACACCACCACCACCACCAGACCAGCACAATACCCAATGAAGTCTAATTGTTTAATCGATTAATTCTCATTGAGATGTAACAGCAGTTGTTATTATCTCCCACCTTCTTTCTTTGCTTTCATTTTTAATACTGCTTTTTAAGTAAATTGGGACAATTTAATCTTTGCTAGTGATATGAATTACCAAAAGCTTGTTATAGCAAACATTCTTAGTGCACGAAGCTTTAGACTTTCTATCCGATGTACGTTCTATCCGGTGTACGTTCTATCCGGTGTACGTTCTATCCGACACGCCTCAAACAGTACAAAAAGAGGTCAATTTCTGATCGTTTGTTATGTTGGATAAATATTTAAAAGCGAAGTTGATGAAACAATTTTGCTATAAAATTTAAAATAATGATTTTATTAACTGCTTTGCGGCAATTAATTCTTATCCTGTTTTACAATTAATATTTAAAATCTTTAAACAATAAGAGATTCTAATTTCATTCTATTTCTTTCAGAAAGTAACTCCAACTTTCCAGTAAACATCTGATTTTTTAGAAGTATTAAAAAAATGATGGAAGTTCATAAACAAATCCTGTTAATGATTGGTGCTTCACTTTTCCTCTTCAAACATTGAAATGTAACCCTTGTCAACAGAAAAGAAAATTTGTACATGCCGATTGCACATCTTACTTACGAACGTTGAAAAACTTTAAAACCCCGAAGAGATATTGTGACCACATAGGTTTTATTTTAACAGAGTCCTTTGTAACGAAGTTTCAAAGTATTTTTTTTATTTTTCTTCAGCGTAAATATCTTTCCGGCAGAAATTTTAATTTAAAATTCAAAACTTTAAATATTTGGGAAATGAGATGAAAGTTAGCCGACAACATTATAAAATGATTGACAACAAAATGGAGTAGGACGGTGATGATGATGATGATGGCAGGAAACAAAAAAACGTGATGACCACGTGATGTCCACGTGATGGTCACGTGATGAGTTTTCAACGTTAGGAATGTTTTATTAAAAATAAAAAAATTTGATGTTAAACTGTTCAGTTTAAATTCAGTGTTTGTTTAATATTTAAAATCAAAAGATATTAAATGTACATTTTATTTAATGGGCCTTCCATTGAGCATTGCCCTATCTATGCATCTATCAAAATACAAACTAAGATGATGAAATCATAATAATAATAATATAATAATAATGATAATAATAATTTTAATAACAATAATAATAATAATAAAAACAACTACAACAACAACAGCAATAATAATAATAAAAATAATAATAATGATGATGACGATGATGATTCCACCACCACACCACCACCACCACCATTACCACCACCAACACAGGTGACGTGCGACATATTCAACGCCAACGACGTCCTCTTTTCCACGGCCTCCCTTCTCCATCTCTGCTGCATCAGTGTCGACCGGTACGTTCAATGGGTGAATGAATGAATGAATGGATGGATGGATGGATGGATGGGTGGATGGGTGGATGGATGAATGAATTGAACTGTAGCTATGTACAAGAGATCAACAAACTAAATCAGTTCTAATCATCTCTTCTAGGTTTACTTAACAATTTGCCAAATGGTGCTGCTTTTCGTCTAGTGGAGATGAACATGCCGATTGGAAAAACTTTTTACATGACAAAATTTTTTTTAAATGGAAGTGTTGGGTGTTGTTAAGAGTCGTTGATGGTCAAACTTTCAATACTTTATGGAAAATGTTTCTTAAATCAATTTGTGGTTCGTGGGCAACTAACCTTGCAACATTTTTTGGCCTTCTTACACTAAATTAACAAGTTGTTGTACAGATGATAAAATATTTTATGAAATTTCGATAAATTGTTGTTGAATCTGGTAGATCAACATCGCTCTAGTCTGCAAACTCTTATTATAAAGCGAATACATAAATAAACTTTTAGTGCGAAATTTTGTTCACAAGTTTGCAAAACTTTGTATTACGTAAAAGGCAACGGATTACATTTGATTAACCTGCGCTATTAAAAAATACTTATACAACTCGACTAGCTACAAACGCATTTTTAAAGATTTGTTGCCTTCCTCACGTTGTTCATGCACGTATTTTATTTCGATTTTTTAATATTTGTCCTTATTCTGAGGCCATTGTATGTTTTATTAAAATGGTTTCCTCGTCTGTACGCTGTTAGGTTTTGTTGTCTTTTTATGTACTGCTTTTCTGTACATGGGTTCCATTCCTCTTTTTAAACTTTTTTATATTACTTCTACTTATGTGTTTGTTTATTTGCCGTTTGTTTGCCGATGTATTTGTTTATTTAATATCAAATTTGTTTTCATATTTATTTGGCTCTTATGCGTGTGTGTGTGTGTGTGTGTGTGTGTGTCTATTTGTTGGCCTGCATTTGTTTGTGTTCTTGATTGGCTGCGCGCGTTGCATCCAGCGGATCATATAATAACTCTGTTTGTAGTTAATAATTTGTTTGTTTATAATAGAAGTTGGATGAGTTTTGTTTTGCTAAATGCCAGGAATGTGTTGGTTGCTGACGATGAAATATTGCTTAATTTATCTCTACCTTCTCCTCAGAGTATCATCATTATTCTTTTAATATAGTCTAGTCGTCGTCATCACGTTCTCATTATATCTTCATCATCTCATCATTCCCCTTTAAAATTGAAAGTGACTGTTCTATTTTAGTTACGCGGAAGCTAAAATGGCAGTACAAAATTTTGAAATGTTGAATATAATTTATCATCGAAGCACTTTAACCTTTTAGACGCAATGTTCAATTTTAGCAAACACCATCCGATATCAGAAAATAAGAAAGTGCTTTTGCCAGCAAAAAATCTTCCACATTAATTTCATTGTTTATCTAATCTTTTTTTCCATTTATTTTTTAAATTTTTTAAACCATCGCAACAATAAGTAATTGTTGTTAATCAAATGAGGAGTTCAAAACTAAACAACAATGACACACACACACACACACCACACACGCATACACACACACACACACACGCACACACGCGCACACACACGCACACAAACACACAAACAAGCAGACACTATTTTTATAATCAAGACGGTTTTATGTATGTATATGCAATGAGATAATAAAAAAATACAGTACTATTTACTACTTCTGTCAATAAATACACAATACTTTGATCTAAGTAGAATTTCATTGAACGATTACTTGTAAAGTATTTATCAAAGGCAGTCAAATTTAAATGGACCAATGTTTGAAATGATAATAATAATAACAATAATAATAACAACAACACTAATAATAATAATATTATTACGCACCGGCCAATTAAACATCAACATCTTTCCCCTCTCGGCAGATACGTGGCGGTAACTGACCCGCTACATTACGACAGCCGAATGACGAGGAAGAAGGTGGCGATGATGTTGGGGGCAGCCTGGGGAGCGTCCGCCCTCCTCAGCCACGTGCCCATCCACATGCAGTGGTACACAACCCCCGAAGGACGACAGGCCAGGCAGAGCAAGGAAGAGCTGACGGAGTGCGTTTTCAAGGTTCGTTCAAGGGGTAGGTGGTAGTAAATTTTAGGGTTCATTAGAATTTTACATCTCACGACAACTACGCTAGTTAGTCAGGGTGACATTTTAATTATATTTTTTATAGTAATAATTATTCTGATTAATAATTATTTTGATTAAGATGCAAATACGAGGCTAACTTAACTGTTTTTCATCCTAATCGAACAATTTCAACAGTTTATGTCAGTGTATTTTACACGTTTCACTATTCTAGATTTAATTGATTTGTGTCAGAATCCCTGATCAACTTAATTTTTAAATGCTAGCCCATCTTTGGTATTTGTGCTTCAACTTTACAATTTATGCGAATACCGAACAAAGCAACTGTCATCACACAAGCAAGTTTTTAATAATCTCACAATACACACTACACACTACACACACTACACACATGGTAGAGTACATGCTACAATTTTTTTGAAGCACGTTAACACCGATGACACTAACGAACGCACGTTCAAATAACACACTCTTTACATTCATACAAACATACATGTGATCCATCTAAACACACGCGCACACACCAACACACGCACATGCACACACGCACAAAAGCAACGCACACTTCAAGTATTATTTTTCTGTTTATTCAGTGTGTAGACAGGACGGGCCAGAGATAGTATTGAGAGAGATGGTTATAAATGCACGTGCATTCACAAGTTTCCTCCACTACCATGCATACATAATTGTATTTACTTTACAAAACATCAACATAGCGAGTGTCATTGTGATGTAATAATGTGATGTAATGTGATGACGTGATTATGTGACGTCATGTGACTATGTGATGATGAAAACTGATGTAATGGTGTGATATGATCTGACAATGTTACAATGTGAT